TCAGGGGATGTCACCCCATGAAACTGAGGGTTCTGATTGCTTGGCAGGGGGTAGGGGGAATAAAAGGAGGGCATTCTGGCTGGCGTTGGTTCCAGTTGTGTGGTGTGGGTTCACCTAGGAGGATGTCGGAGGTAGGAAGGCTGGAGCAGCTGAATACTGCAGGCAGCAACCAGAGGATTTCCCCAGAGGCAGGGTGGGTGCATTTCCAACCCAGGGCCAAATTCAGTTCTGGAAAATCTCTCAGGGGTTGGTGGTAGGTAGGGCTAAAGGCAGGGCCCTGGGCACAAAAAAGGCAGAGCCCCTGGGCACTGTAGGTGTGGGACCAAACCTACAGTGCCTACAGTCCAGCACATTGCAGCTTCAAGCCCTTACTCATGCTGGTAAATAAGGCTTAAGAGAGGCTTGTTGTTGTTGTTGTTGTTGTTACATTGCCATTATTACATTGCATTTGTATCTCTTGTGAGGACCCCAAGGCAGCTTGCCCAGCCACTTCCCGCATCTCTGTGATGTGAGCTGAGTTCTTCCTCCCAGCAGTAACAGTCTCACCAGTGCTTCTTTGTCAAACATCTTTATTTTACATGCAAGTCTCTGAGCATACACCAAGCGAAATGTTGAACTCTCTCTGGCATTCTTCACCCAAAGCTATCCTTATAAATCCTTACGGGCTATTGGGTCCACCTCCTCAGGAGGCTGGACTTCCCTATCTGATAAATTCCCCATCTCTAAATCTCTCTCAAGATGTTGTTGCTCCTCCTGGTTCCCACAGATGGGTTGACTGGGCCCCTTGGCTGCCCTTGAATAATCTCTGCCATAGCAGGCACAGGTGGGTACCCAGGGCCTTGGACTGCAGCTGGAGCCTGGTCCATTTCCACCATCATCTCATTGTCAGACTCTGAGCTGTTAGTCCAACTCTCATAGTCAGCCTGTCATGCATGCTCCTGAAATTCACCAGAATGCGCACACATAACACTGGTGCTAAGTGATGCAAACTGGCTGGGAGGTCTCCATTCAAAGGGTTACCTCCTGTCATAGACCTCCCCAGACTGTAAAATCATCCTCAGAAGCTCTTCTCTGGGTTTCCTCTTAGAATGAGATGAGGCAGTAACTGCTAAGGACATGACCTTTGCAGCGGTGGCACCCCAGTTATGGAATGGCTTCCCATGCAGGCTAGCTGGTATCCAGAAAAAAGCTTTCTATGCAGTGTGGCTTGTTGTATTGTGCAAACTCACCTAGTGATGGGGTTCAAAGGAAGGGGATTCTGATAGGATGTCAGATGGTGTCCACTTCCCTCCTATTTTTTTTAACAGAGAGCCCTGGCTCAGTTGCACCATTACCAACAGCTATTGCTTTGTAGATCAAATTGAAAAGAAGCTTCTCCAGGCGGTTCCAGAAGAGTTCATTAAAGCTCCATGTGAGCTTCTCACATTGCATACCAAGTACCCACCCACTGCTTATGCACAAGAGCAGACACACTGCCTTTCAAACGGAATGGGGAGGACCTCAGGATGGCTGCCTTCTCCTTCAAAAGGCGGTCTAAAAATCCGATCCTTGTTCCAAAGCAGATTTTGCACCCAAGAAAAGGCAGGGTAAGTAGTTAGAGTTAATCTCTATAGTTTTATTACAGGAGCAAATTCAAAAGGCAAAATCCAATGCCTAACAAAATCCAAAGGAAACAATTGGGAATAGGAAAGCCCATTAGTAAGGGCTTTCTTTCTTAAGCAGTTCTTTCTGTATTTACGTTTTGCATCCATGATTTGTATTGTGAGCATGTTGTTCTCCTGCATTGCCAGATCAGCTCCAAACAGATGGCTGCAGTCCACATGACATAATCAAGCAGTAGGCTAGCCCCGGGCCTTCCTTGAGCACCATCTTGTACTGCTGTGTTTGGAGGGAAAAGGCACATAGGTAGTGGCTGCAAAGCGCACTTTCTGCTGCTCAGCATGTGTAATCAAAAGAGGTACCCTGCAGCCCAAAGCATGCTGCCGATTGCTTCTTGACCTCAGCCATGGGCACAAAGGACACCGCCTGCCAATACAAGGTCTTCCCAACGTTGCTTCCAAACAAGGTGCACAACTGCAAACATTGTTTTAGGGTGACCTGTGGTTTCTTGTCAACAACAGTTCTTGCCTTGGTTAATCAGCAGAAGGAACTGAGTTTTGCCCTACATTAACTAGTCCCACTCAGCAATTACATAAAGAGGATCTGTAAATATGTATATATAAAATAAAAACAAATGAAGTTAAAAGCACCGTAGCAATGAAAGGGCAGGGATGGAGGTTAATCAGGGATGAGGAGGTGGGAAGCACAATTTTCCTCCCTGGAATTTTCCCAGTTTGAAACACTTATGCATGCACACACATGGAAGCTGTTCTTTGTCCAGCCTGGAAATCCAGAGACGTACCATATTAGTAAAGTATACATATATGTCTCTTTAGCCCACTGCTTCGTCAAAGGCTCCCAGACTGTCAGAGACTCATTATATGAGAGCTGGTGTGGAGAAGTGGTTACGAGTGGGTCTCAAGAGATCTCAGTTCTAGTCTCTCTCAGCCATGGAGCTAATTGGGTGACTTCAGGCCAGTCACAGACTCTCAGCCTAAGCTGCCTCACAGGGTTCTTGTTTTGAGGATAAGATTGAAAGGGGAATTATATAAGCCCTCTTCAGTTCCATGAAAGGGGAAGAGGTGTGAAATAAGTATAATAAATAACTAAATGAGATGGCCCCTGCCTATGATCTCAAACGGTATGACGCACAAGGCAAAAGTGAAGTGGAGGGAAGTGGAGAAGGTGAAGCCATTTTTCAGCAGGATTAGTGGCATGACCCTGCTTCCTCTTGCATCTCCCACCACTCAGCCTTCTGGGGGATGGCTTTGCAAGAGTGGCATGGCCAGCGTCTCTTGGTGCTCTCCTTGAACCCGTGCCACTGCCATAGTTATCATCAGATTAGTTCTCCTAGGGCTGCTGTTATCTTCATGGATTCATATTCATGGATCTTCCTTGTCGCATAGGATTTGGCCCACTTTGTCCCCAGGTGTGAGAATCTGGAATATGTGTTTCCTACAGCAGTTAATGGCATTCAGTGTCAATCCAAATCCAAAGATGAAGTCACACTTCGAGAAGCATTGCTCAGACATTAAATCATCTGCCCTGCTGCTTCCACATGGATTCTGTATGAACAGAGAGTTGTCTTCGGGCAGAATTAGACAAAGATTTATCATGCTGCTGAAGCCTGGCAGAAATTCCCTATTTCCATTTTAGTGATGGGAGCAGAATTAAATACAGGCTCTCTAATACCAACTATATGCCACTTCTTGGTAATTATCTGGGAATTGCTGGTACAGCCATTACATTTACAGTAGCATGACATTGATACTGCCTTTGTGCATGCTAATATAGTTTACTATTAAGAGCTTTTTGGATTAGAGACCTTTATATGCTTTGTGATTTTAACTGCTGTTGTACACCAAAGTCGGTATTGTATGCTGGATGCTACAGACCCTAAATTAGACGCTTCTGTTAATATGGTATTGTTATACCTCTCCAGGCTTTTAGCTTCAACAGTAAACTAAAGAATGACGGTTTAAAATAATAAAAATATGCCAATGTTTTGTGTACATCATTTGCACACATGCACATACCCCCTTCTTCTTAAAAGTGGGTTTGATTTTCTTCCACCTAGTCAGGCAAGTGCTCTCTCTAGCACACCAGAGCAGATTGTTAAATGGGGCAAAGCTACAGAACCAGCCCACTGCTGGAAGTTTACCCCATGACTGCCTCTGAATCACACCTGGGGGACTGTCTGGCTGAGCCTCATAGGCAAGGGAAGCATGCATTGATTCGCTGGATGACACTCCTTCCTTTACCTTTGAAATAAATGAAGTGCAAGTCAGGCGGTTACTACTAGGCACTGCAGCCTCTTGTACTTTCGTTGTTCCAGGAAAAGCGCGTGCATAGGACAAGAGACGATTTTCAAACTCATTACAGAACCCAATAGCAGCAACAGCCCATGCTCTGGAGGCTACGGCTGCTATCCTGTACAGGTTTACTTGAGAGTCTGTCCCATTGAACTCAGTAGGGTTTACCTCTGAGTAGACATGCCTAGGATAACGCTGCCTGCTTCCTTGCCTAAGGGGGGCTCGCAGCACTCGGGCTTCTGCCGCTGTGCGGATTCCTGGAGTGATGCGACCCTGCAGTCAAAGAGCTTTCACCCCCAGTAATATGATTCTCGGTCTTCGTAGAACAGCAGCGCATCCTTTCGCTTCGTGCCTGCTCTGGGTGGCAAATCGAAGTGCCGCAGGGGGTTGTGAGTGGGGGGTCGAGAGAGGGCGGGGGAGAAAGAGAGAGCGCTGCTGTTCCCCACTGTCCCGGACCACATGCTTCTGAGCCCCCGGTGACAACCTCCAGGCTGGGTTAAAAAGAGCGCTGTCCTGCCCGCCCGCCCGCCCTTTCCATCAGCGGAAGGCTCCTCCTCCTCCTCCTCCTCTCCACACGCTTAGCCATCCAACCCGCACACGTGTGTGCGTGTGCCAGAGCCAGCTGTGTGAATGCGAGTGCGTGCGCGCGCGTCTGCGGGTTCGTCGGTCGGGGGAGGGAGAAAGCCGGGACCGCTTTCTGGAAGAGCCCGTTTCTCGCCTTCTTTCCCGTCTTCTTCCTGCCCTCCCTCGTTGCTTCGCGCTCCTTCCACTGCGCGCGCCTGGAGAGGGATGCGGCGGCGGCGGCAGCTCCCCGCGGAAGTCCGCTTTCCCCGCGGCTTGGGCGCTGAGGTGCGACGGCTCCGTCGCTTCTCTCCCCTGCGTTGGCTGCAGCTTCCCGGCAGCTGCCGGCGTCCCGCCCTCCTGCCTTGAACCGGGACCGGGGCTCCCGCCCGCTTCTTGCGCCGCGGCGCCGGCCAGCGCCACGGCCAGCGCCCGGCGGCGGACTCCCTCGGGGCCCCGCCTCGCGCCTTCGCGCCCCCCGCTCCCCGCTGCGGCCCGGCCGCTTCGGGGCAGCAGCGCCCCGGGGGCATGGACGGCGACGGCTGGAACCAGAGCGAGCCCAATGGCACGCAGCTGCCCTGCGGCGGCCCCAACGGCAGCCTGGGGGCGAGAGGGGCCGGCCTGTGCCCTGGCCCCGGGATCAGCCCGTCCATGATCACCGCCATCGTCATCATGGCTCTCTACTCCGTCGTGTGCGTGGTGGGACTCTTCGGCAACTTTTTGGTGATGTATGTCATCGTCAGGTAAGAGGAAGGGGCTCGCGCGGACGGGGAGGGGCTGCCGGGGAGCCCGCGAAGGACCCGGGGGGGCGATGGGGCAACCCGCGGCGGGTGGTGGTCCGGGAGGGGGAGCGTCGCCTCAATTGCCGAGCACGCTTCCCGACTCGGGGCCCTCCACGTGCTCCGGACAACTCTGTTTGGCTGCGTTGGCTGGGGCTGAGGGAAGCAGGAGTCCAGAACGTCTGGAGGGCACCGAATCAGCGGCCAAACAGAGCTCCAGAGCGCCCACCCGAAGGTACCCTCCCTTTGCCTGGCTGGCGGAGAAAAGATGCGCCGCCAGTCCCCAGAAGCAGCCTGGAGGGGCCTACAGGGGGCCTTTGGAGATCTCGCCAAAGGAGATTTCCCAGCGCCCAAGAGGTGCGCGACCCGCGTCGCGCATCATGGAAGCTGCTGTGCTGGATCAAACCGTACTAAGTGGAGAACCATTCGTCTCCGCAGTGCTTTTGGGGAACCCTATTTCGAGGTCCCGTCCCACCAAGGTATCTTTTCTCTTCGAGGGGCAGAGTAAGTGGTGCAGGGAGAATGAAGCGCGCAGTCGTAATTGCTTCTTGTTCAGAGGTCGAAGGACTGAAGCGAGCCCGATGCCTCCTTGCTGGCGACTAGAGGAGATCTGTAATCTGAAGGGGAAAGTTGCAAGAGGAAGCAGAACTGATCACCCTAGTAAAGCCATTTAGAAAAGTGTTCGTGATCAGGGGAACCGAGGGCTTTCTTTCTGCAGCAAACAAACCAGAGGAGGGTCTTCTTAGGCGCCCTGCGAACCTGTTTCTGATTACAGCCAACAAATTCTCGGGGGTATTAGAGAATAAACCTCCTGGGTTTTTTAAAAGATGTGCTAATAGTTACAGGACTGGGGAGGTGGGACTGTGCAATTCCAAAAGAACATTTCTGCTGTTCAAGTCATGCAAACGTAGAATTATATTGGCTGGTTGATGGATGGATTAACTTATTGATTGGTTTAGTGATTGATCATGTGAAAAGGAGAATGAGTGGCCCAGCAGGATCTTCTAAAACCCGGACCAAATACCACAGACTGGCCTCTAAGTGCATGCACACAAGGAGAATGTACAGGTGTGCTGTAGAGGCACGCGCTCTGCACACAAATTAGGGTGCATTTACATTTCTCCTCTCGCAACAGCCCTGATGGCTTTTCTTATTAACTGCCTCCAAGCAAGGCATTATGGTATCCTCAGGACTGCAGTTGTACATTGCAATTCTGTGCATGTCTACTCCGAAGTAAGAGCAACTTCAATAGGATTTACTCCCAGGTAAGAATTTATAGGATCACAGCTTAACAGGACACTCACCTATTATTATTATTATTATTATTATTATTATTATTATTCATTTCCCTGTCTCTTATGAGGGCTTTGCCTAGAAATAATTTTGGATAGATAATTAAAGCAATCAATCACTCACATGGATTCAGCTGAACACCAGTTCTATTTTCAGATAAATCTACCAAGGGACAATGATTGGTCATGTTATTTCAAATGTTTCCCCTACTAAGATCCATACTAAAATGTTCCCTCTTCTTTCAGTTGCAAGAAATTTGAACCAATCCAGGCAGCTAAATGCCACTCCCAAATAAATAATAGAAATAGTTTGCTGGGAGAGCAGCACAGCAAAGAGATCTGGGTAATCTTTAAGGGAGATGTGTTTTCCATTTTTAATCAAAGAAATTATTTCTTTCATATGTGGAATGGGTTTTCTCGTCATTGGTGTCTAAATTGGATTTGTTTAATGAAAGGCAGGTAGGAAAAGCAATCAAATTTGCACCAACACACCCTAATATTTAGGAGAAATGTGATTACAGTTTCTATGAGAACACAGCACCCTCTATTGAGACAAATGATAACAACAGGTGGAAATTGCTGCTTCTGGGAGCCACATGTGAGAATACCAAATAAATAAATAAAATGCTGCCTTAAGGAATAGTGTGTGGCTGGGTACATCACACACTCACGCTCACTTACTTACTTTCTCCAACCCTTTCAGCCTGGAATGGCTGCATCCCAAAGAAGCAAAATCTGAACTAAGTGATATAAGCATGTAGTCACATCTGAAGACCAGTGGACTACCTGATCCCACAACGTGGCGCCTAATTGGCTGGAGATAATTTGTGGGAAGGGGCGGCGATTTAACAGATGTGGAAGCCATCAAATTAGATAAGACTGTCACAAGGAGCCCAGACATCATCACCAGTTTTCCATATGTTTTTACTGCTGACACTCAAGATTGTTTAACTACTGAGCAGGTTCAGCCTTCATCAGGCTGTATTCCCCCCAACCCATTTTCATCCCCTTTGGGCTTGAGTCTGCCACTAACATGCCCCTGAGTTCACCTACTATGCCTCCCCTTTCTTGAAGGCTGCATAGTCATTTTGACTCCACAACCACTGGCATTCACCAACTGAATTAGCTAACAGAGGGAGTGGCATGTGCTGTTTGTATATGCCCTGATATTGTCGAGCCTTGTTAATTATTTTTGTTGATTTCCTTGTTAATGATTCCTATTGATCATCTGGTGACATAGTGAGTCTTGTGAAAAAAAATCTCAGGCTCCACATAGACATGCTGGAAATCAGAAGGACCAGATACTCCTGGGAAATGATTTTCTAACATTTATTTCAAGAGCATTGTGTGTGTGCTGTTTTAGATAAAATTTATGTACATACTTATATTATTTCATGAGACTTGGGATGCTTGCATGGAACTCCCTGTAGTCTTCCGCACAGCTACTGACCAAGCCCACACTACCTCATACACCAGGACAAGGAAGGGCCTAATCCTTCCTTCCCCATCATTGCAAAATGCCTGAGGGTACACTCCTGTACATGTTTAGACAGAAATAAGCCCTATAACTCCCAGCATTCCCCAATCAGCCATGCTTTTGTAGGACTTCTTTTAGTCCACAGATGGAAGGATTGCGGCCTCTGCTGCCCTAGTTTTTACTACACCTGGCTAGTGCCAGGGAGACGCAAGTTCAAACCTCCACTTAGCCAGTGCACTAACCTGCCTTAGAGGGAATTTTGTTTACCATGCAGACCTCTTTAGATGGAGTATGGGATAAAAATGTAATAAATAAATGTGAGCTGATGGTACAATATTGTTTCCTATCAGAGAAATCCAGTTCAGACTACAGTCCTGTATGTGGGAATAAACTCCATTCACTCAAGCGGAATTGCGTCTGAGTCATAAATCTAAGTCCTCCCCTAATATTCATCCAATTTTCATCATCCTGTTACTGCAGGGCTGTTGGGCAGGATCTGCTGTGTGTCTGGCATCAACCCAAAAGCAAGAGATTAAGAGCAATCCTGTAAAACAATGTTTTAAAATTAGCCAGCTTCTCCTCTTCAATGATTCTGATTTAATCCTGTGTGAGTGCATCCATGTGTGTTCCAGAGCATGCACAGAAGGCCACTTTCCTTTCTGAGTCAAGAAAAAAAAATAGAAGGATGTGACAAGAAGTCTGATCACTTCTGCTGGAGGTACAGAGTCACAGTCCCAAATGCTTAGGAGCAACAGTGCCTGTCACTCTAGGAGGTTTTTGGAAAGAACCATGTCAGAAGTGACCACAAATACTGAACATGTGAAACCCCATAAGAAATAGACCACATTATGGATTTTAGCAGGGGAAAGGAATTGTAGCATTGTGAAACCAATTTGCCTAGTAGGCCTGGGTAAACACCTGTGTAAACCTACTTGGAGTGGATCCACTGAAATATCTACAGTAAAGTGTTACTTATGGATAGCATAAATCCAATTCATTTCAATGGGCTTACTCTAAGTAGGGCTTGGGGAGATTTTACATGATGGGTACAGATAGCATAGACTGTTTGGACATGCCCATGGTAGACATGGGAGCTAGCTGGAGCTGGGGGTCAGACTAGACGACCTGGGAGACCCCTTCCGAATCGCTCTGTTTCTATGTTTCTCAAGGGGAGTTAGTAGATGGAAGGGCAGGTTTTGACATAGGAATCCTGAGATCCTGCCGCTGTTCAGCCATGAAGCTCTCTGAGGCTTACTGTGCCTGTGGCACTCCACCACAGGGACATGTCCTCAATGGCGGTGGTTGGAAAGGCAGCTGTTGAGGACACTGATCCTGAGCTAGGCATGAAGGAGCTGCTTAACTTCTTCCTTTGCTTCTATCCTTTCCACTCTACCCCATCCCAAATGGCTTTTCCAACTGCAGCAACAATTCTATGGAGCTTGACTCTCTTTCCCTTCTGGAGAGAAACAATTCAAGGTTAAACATTTGAAGTGGAAAAGCAACCTCAAAAGAAAAGGTTTTCCTTTCCTTTCCTTTCCTTTCCAAACAAATTGGGAGGTTACACAGGTCCAAAAGTCATGTGTATTCCTGAGCCTGACCACGGGTGAGCTGTTACCTCTTGGCATAGGACTGTTGGGCAGGTGAAATATGCTGCATATTGAACAGTTCTACAGAAGTGCTTCATAATACCTCAGATGTAACTGTGTGTCAGAACAGACATCGCATTTAATGCACGTGTAGCTGGTGTCTTTTTTTCCTTTCACTCCAACCCAGAAAGGACCTGATCTGCATCAAGCATTGAGGGGAGGGAGACTTTTAAGATCTGAACTGGGATGTTTACACTTATTCAGAGTAAAAATGGTAAGATGACAAAGGGCAATATCCAATCAGATAGTGACCCTAAAATCAATTACATTGCACTGGCACAAGTGACTTCTGGCACAACAGTAATAGTATTGGCTGAGGAGACAAGGTTTCTAGAGAATTCTGCTGCACCACCAAACCATGGTATCATGCAAAAAGTCCCTTATACTAGTACAGCATTACTGGTTTAATGCTAGTGTTTGATTGTATTCTGCCACAGCTGCTAGCCACAGATGTAAATTTATTCCCGTTATGACCCTGTATTTCACAGCCAGTAAAAATAGATAGCATTACAGCCCTAAAGCTGTTTTTGCATTTCCAGAAACGGTGTG